GTGGTTGTCTTACAGATGTGTAGATTGTAGCTGTGGTTGTCTGACAGATGTGTAGATTGTAGCTGTGGTTGTCTGACAGATGTGTAGATTGTAGCTGTGGTGGTCTGACAGTTGTGTAGATTGTAGCTGCTGTGGTGGTCTGACAGATGTGTAGATTGTAGCTGCTGTGGTGGTCTGACAGATGTGTAGATTGTAGCTGCTGTGATGGTCTGACAGATGTGTACATTGTAGCTGCTGTGGTGGTCTGACAGATGTGTAGATTGTAGCTGCTGTGGTGTCTGACAGATGTGTAGATTGTAGCTGCTGTGGTGGTCTGACAGATGTGTAGATTATAGCTGTGTTGGTGGTCTGACAGATGTGTAGAGTTTGTCTGCTGTGGTGTTCTGACAGATGTGTAGATTGTAGCTGTGGTGGTCTGACAGATGTGTAGATTGTAGCTGTGGTGGTCCGACAGATGTGTAGATTGTAGCTGCTGCGGTGGTCTGACAGATGTGTAGATTGTGGCTGCTGTAGTGGTCTGACAGATGTGTAGATTGTAGCTGTGGTGGTCTGACAGATGTGTAGATTGTAGCTGCTGTGGTGGTCTGACAGATGTGTAGATTGTAGCTGTTGGTCTGACAGATGTGTAGATTGTGGCTGCTGTAGTGGTCTGACAGATGTGTAGATTGTGGCTGCTGTAGTGGTCTGACAGATGTGTAGATTGTAGCTGTGGTGGTCTGACAGATGTGTAGATTGTAGCTGTGGTGGTCTGACAGATGTGTAGATTGTAGCTGCTGTGGTGCTCTGACAGATGTGTAGATTGTGGCTGCTGTAGTGGTCTGACAGATGTGTAGATTGTAGCTGTGGTGGTCTGACAGATGTGTAGATTGTAACTGCTGTGGTGGTCTGACAGATGTGTAGATTGTGCTGCTGTAGTGGTGTGACAGATGTGTAGATTGTGGCTGCTGTGGTGGTCTGACAGATGTGTAGATTGTAGCTGTGGTTGTCTGACAGATGTGTAGATTGTAGCTGTGGTGGTCTGACAGTGTGTAGATTATGGTTGCTGTGGTGGTCTGACAGATGTGTAGATTGTAGCTGCTGTGGTGGTCTGACAGATGTGTAGATTGTGGCTGCTGTGGTGGTCTGACAGATGTGTAGCTTGTGCTGCTGTGGTGGTCTGACAGATGTGTAGGTTGTTGCTGCTGTGGTGGTCTGACAGATGTGTAGGTTGTTGCTGCTGTGGTGGTCTGACAGATGTGTAGATTGTGGTTGCTGCGGTGGTCTGACAGATGTAGATTGTGGCTGCTGTGGTGGTCTGACAGATGTGTAGATTGTAGCTGCTGTGGTGTCTGACAGATGTGTAGATTGTGGCTGCTGTGGTGGTCTGACAGATGTGTAGATTGTGGCAGCTGTGGTGGTCTGACAGATGTGTAGATTGTGGTTGCTGTGGTGGTCTGACAGATGTGTAGATTTTGTGTGCTGCGGTGGTTTGACAGATGTGTAGCTTGTGGTTGCTGCGGTGGTCTGACAGATGTGTAGATTGTAGTTGCTGTGGTAGTCTGACAGCTGTGTAGATTGTGTCTGCTCTGGTGGTCTGACAGATGTGTAGCTTGTGGTTGCTGCGGTGGTCTGACAGATGTGTAGATTGTAGTTGCTGTGGTAGTCTGACAGATGTGTAGATTGTAGCTGTGGTGGTCTGACAGATGTGTAGATTGTAGCTGCTGTGGTGGTCTGACAGATGTGTAGATTGTTGTGCGTGGTTCTGACAGATGTGTAGATTGTAGCTGTGGTGGTCTGACAGATGTGTAGATTGTCTGCTGTGGTGGTCTGACAGATGTGTAGATTTGTTGCTGTGGTGTCTGACAGATGTGTAGATTGTAGCTGTGTGGTCTGACAGATGTGTAGATTGTAGCTGTGGTGGTCTGACAGATGTGTAGATTGTAGCTGTGTGGTCTGACAGATGTGTAGATTGTGCTGCTCTGGTGGTCTGACAGTGTGTAGATTGTAGCTGCTGTGTGGTCTGACAGATGTGTAGATTGTGGCTGCTGTGGTGGTCTGACAGATGTGTAGATTGTGCTGCTGTGGTGGTCTGACAGATGTGTAGATGTTGTTCTGCGTGGTGGTCTGACAGATGTGTAGATTGTAGCTTTGGTGGTCTGACAGATGTGTAGATTGGTAGCTGTGGTGGTCTGACAGATGTGTAGATTGTAGCTGCTGTTGGTGGTCTGACAGATGTGTAGATTGTAGCTGCTGTGGTGGTCTGACAGATGTGTAGATTGTAGCTGCTGGTGGTCTGACAGATGTGTAGTTGTGCTGTGTGGTGGTCTGACAGATGTGTAGATTGTAGCTTGTGGTGGTCTGACAGATGTGTAGATTGTTGCTGTGGTGGTCTGACAGATGTGTAGATTGTAGCTGCTGTGGTGTCTGACAGATGTGTAGATTGTGCTGTGGTGGTCTGACAGATGTGTAGATTGTAGCTGTGGTGGTCTGACAGATGTGTAGATTTAGCTGCTGTGGTGGT